GTGCGTGCGGGTTCGTTACGAAATGAATGCACAAGTCCGAAAAAAAAAATGAACAAAAATTTATTATTATCACAACAAATATGCTTAAATTTTCTGAAATATTCGTGCAGTATCACAATATCTCACAGTAGTTATCTTAACTACTCAAACGTTCAACATAAGTTAATTCAAAACAGCTAAAGAAAGCTAATCCGCGAATTCGCTACAATCAACAAGAGCAGTTTTCTAAACAAACTCTTAAAACAACAACAAGCTAACTAAAATCACTGACTCATTGAACTAAGAAGTTTTCCTCTCATTTATAAGATTTTTAAATCGCGCGCGAGAACTTTCTGGAACTTTCTCGAAATCAAAACGAGATGTTTATTAAATGTTAAGTGCACGTGCTCTTGTATTTTCAATTTTCCGGCTTAGCTTTCTTTTAATATTCGTCACGCGCTGCACTGCGCGGGAAATAAAACCATTTAATTTTCAATTCAACTAACATCAATTATTTAAATGCCAAATTTGTAACAATATAAAAGATTTAATTTTCGAACTAATCTACAGTATCATTTAAATTCAGATAGCATAAGTAAATCAAGTGCAAAACCAAACCATGAAAATAAATTCACCAATTTAGCAAATTAAAATTAATCTAAAAAATTTCTTAAAAAATGCATAAGTGAATGATTGTTGAGCAGGCAGGAGACAGACTTATCAAGGGGAAGTTGCCTCCAAAACCTAACTCTTTAATCATTCAATTCGTGCACTGATTCAATCATTCATATAATTATATAAATATGTAAGATAAAAATGTATGAATCAGAATTATAATATAACTATAAACATTAATTCTTCCTCTCTATTCTAAAATTCTAATAACTTATCTGCATTGCGTCATTTAAATTAATCATGCGATCTTACGTAACCGTTAATACCAGATGCCTCTTGACGACCAATCACCGAATTGTAAACCAAAACTTTTCTCTTCGCGTGCTTCCATCTTTCATAACTACGCACTTCAGCTTTTGCTCTCTACTGTGCTAAGATGTAATTTCGCTGGCTTCTTTCTATCTTAACAATACCAAAAATGTAAATCTTCTGTGGAAAAGCACGACTAGAGTGCCAAGTGATCGTGGCCACAAATATCAATTGGAAATAAAAATGGAATTAAAACTGCCTCGACTGCCAAGTTCTTTAGATGTTACCAAGTTAGCATTACTAGCATACTGTGCAATCAAAATCTTCTTCAATATGGGTCTAATCACGCATCTACAGTATTCCGTCATTTCCTTGTGCTTTTATTATGACATATATATATATATATATATATATCCTTTCTGTTACTCGGCTCTGTGAGCTCAGTTCTTTTATTCTTACATGTTGGTAAATTGTGCATTTTGGTGCACAATTTTGATTGAATTATATTGTTCTTACTTTTTCAGGTTAATGTTTTTATGTCTTAAGTTAATCTGCATGCAATAATTGTAGAAATATCAACAATTTAAAAGTTGTTTAAGTGCGGCTAAGTCTAATTTTTTTACCATAGAAGCCATATTTGTTTACATTTGAAACTTAACAGAACAGTGAAGCAAATCAGTTTCTACACCTTCAGTGTCTTTTTCCCGAGTGTGAGACCAAAAGTAAACTTTCCGTTTTGTGCATCGAAAAGCCTGCCTTCTTGCCCGCTGCCTGAATTGCTTGTTTTTTGCGTAGAAACTCTAAGTTTAATTGTAAAAATTGTTTTAACTACATTTGGTGTTTTATCTTTTTTTTTTTTATCTTTTTCAATTTTTTATGAAGATATTTTGAGGTTTTAGCCTTGCCGCGAAATGTGAACTGAATTAATTGAATGAGAAATATATCTACTGAAATTCAAGAAAATAACTTTAAATGAAATGCACCAAAAATGCGTATGATTTAATATTCCATATAAGGAAGATCACACCAGATATTTCATTTTTTATTTGAGTTCCTTTCTAAATGATGTCATTCTAAATTCAGTGCAAAAAGCCGGAGAAACATAAATCGTAGTAGTCTAAGTGTACTTCACCTTTTTCTTAAGTGCTATGCGAAACAGTCAGATAAGTAAGATCAGTAAGTTGTTCCTGAGGTATTTATTTGAAAACTGTTTGGAGATTGCAACATACATGTTATCAGAGAATGTTTCAATCGTCATGAATTTTTATAACCAATGAGTTATTAATAAACTTACAATCTGCTCATCCATTTACGCTTTTTATGAGCATATACATAAAAATCTCATCTGCATTGCTTTCCATCCGTAGTTTTTCAAGAACACTGCTGGAATTTCTTGTTATGTTTCTAATACTTTAAAAAGCTACTCAGCACCGAAAAAATTATTAAAAATAATAAATATTATTTAATTTATTATAAATAAAAATTAAATTTAAATTTAAAATCCAAAGATTTTCTAGACTTATTTATTTGCACACTTTCTGCTCAGTATGAATTTTGGAGTTTTTAATTATCAAACTTCTAAATGCGAAATGGTTTCGTGATGTATTAATGGTTATATTCTACTGTCAGATATAGCTTGCATTTTCGCAATTTTTCATATTACACGTGTGTGTTTTTCAAGATACAGTCCAAAATTTTTTAAAGTTTGAAAATTTTCTTCCTATTACATTCTTTTCTCTATTGACTTCAATTATTTATTCTAATTTCATTTTTTTATAACTTACTGTACTTTTGAATTTTAGCCAGCTTTTTCGATTCCGAATTGTTGGTGTTTGGCTAATATAATAATATGCAACTTTTCCACCTAAATTAAATTTTTTCCAAATATTAATTAAATTTTAATTGTACTTTGGTTAATTAAGAAAGAGGCTTCCTTTACATTTCTCGAAACACCAGCCTCCCGATGAAGCTGTCAAAGGAAATGTAAAGTCTAGTTGTTTTGTACTTAAAAAAAATGTTCATTCAGATGTCTCGAATTTTTTTATAAGATTTATTGGTCAAATTTCGTTTTTGTTCAGCCTCGTTCACCTAGTGTTTTTTAACTGTTCTTGGTTTAAATTTCATTTTTAATTTAAATTAAGCGTGAAATTATTTAACTTGTAGTATCGTGAGGTCTCAACTTGGCAGCAATTGTAGTAGGGACTGCTACGAAGTTTGAATTTATACAGACACGTAAGAAGGGTTTTTAAAGCCCTTTTTATTCAACTTTTAAAATAACAGCTGCGTCCACTTGACGCTCACAAACTACGCCAACCCGGCGGTTTAACTGAAACAGAATGTAAAACTGAAATAACGACTAGATTAATAAATAACGAGATCACTATCCGCGAACCTCTGAGATCTTAAACTAATCTAACCGCGTTCTAACATTACCGCTGAGATTCAGCGAGCTTACTGATTAAGCAATTGAAAGATCCAGCAAAAACGGCCGAGATAGGCACACAGGCCGAAACGCGCGGTTTATTAATTCTACCGAGCGACGTTCACGTTCGCGATTCAAGAAGCACACCTGCAATCTCGTTTTCCTTCTATTTAAACTCAACTTACTTCTGCTAAATTTGAATATACTGCGCGCTCTACTGCAATTTACATACTCTAGCATTGGCAATTCTAGGGGAAAGTAAAGGCTTGACAGAACAGATAGCTTAAAATAAATGTTAGTTAAAATAAATATAAACCTTACAACCTGTATACCTATGACTCCGACTTAAGGTGGTTTGACTTAGATTTAACTTAGGTTTGACTTAGACTTTACGATTTTAAACTGATGCCAGTTCTACAGAAAAATTCTTCGAATTTTTATCATTATCATTTTCTGTTTTTCAGCAATATTTTGTTCATGTGACATGTATAAGAGAATTCGAACGTTATGAATGCAGTTCGTTCATGAAGACCTTTCTTCACCCGAAATGTTCGTAAACTGACACTATTTTTTCCATAGAAACTATTGTAAAATGGATTAATTACTTCCTAAAACACAGATGACTTCAAGACCAATGGAGATCATTAAATATAAGGGTGGAGAGAAGATAAACGTAATACTAAACAAATAAAACAGACGAAAACTTTATTTCAGTGTACATGTTCGAAGAGAGTCACAAGAGGAAAATGTAACGAAGGTTTAGCTTATTTGACAAAGCTTGCGAGAAGCGGGTTTGGTTTATCTGACAATGGCAAAGCATGTGAGGAGGGATGCCTTCGTGGAGGGCTTTCTAAGAGAACTGGCTGGTATCCACGTTAAAACGTTAAAATCATGAAAACGTTTATGCCATCATCATATTAACCTGGCACCGAAAAAGGTAGAGCTACCAGCTTTCAGGGACTTTACCGCTCAGCTGCTGATGGGCGTATGATGAGGAAGAGAAAGGAAAGAGATTTTATTGCTTAGATTAGGAATATGCTTCCATAAAAGCATTAGGCAACATCTTAACTTTGTCCTCTTTCCCCACCTCTTTTAGCGCTACTCGACCCTGCTTGAGACTCACTAAATCTCTGTCTTATTAAATATTTATCGAATGTGATTTTTTTTCTATATTTTAAAATGTTTCTAAAGGGGGACATGGCTTTATTGAAAATGTTTATGCTGTAGCTTCCTATTGCTTTATCAGAGTGGTATCACTTCCTAAAACTTTGCACCTTATCCCATTTTACACAAATTTCAAGAATTAAAGATGTAGGATCTTATCCTTTCCTTGCTCTTCCTCTGAAGATATTTTTTCTAGAATTCTAGAATTTTTCTAGGTTTTTCTGCTTTTGAAAATTTTTCAACGTTTTCGTACTGAGCTCATATTTTTGTTCTTTTAGTGAACGTCTTTATTGTTAACTTCCAAGCCAATTGTTTTACCTTGTGTTTGTTACTTACAGTACTGAGTTCAGAAAATGTGTTAATGGTGAGAGGAGGTCGTGACTCGAGTTTTCATTCTGTAATAAAGGGTTTTATATGGATTAAAAGGTTGAGGAATAATTGAAACACAATGACTGGGTGGGGGTACCATTTTTTTACATAAAATAACTCATAAATGTAAATAATTTCTTACTTCTGTTCTTTGCATGATTTCTAGAGGTTTTTCATCCGTTTCTGCTTTCGGTGAATCGTGCAAGGAAGTTTCTATTGCCTGAACAAGAACAAAATTCATAAAATAAGTTTCAGACAATTGCAGATTTTCATATGCTATAGATTATTAAGACACTGTCATTCAGTACATTTTTATTATAAATCCCCATTATCCTTGAGCTCCTAAGATTTAACATCAAAGCCCTCAGTGTAAATACTCGCTCAAAGTGAAAAAAAATTAAATTACAATAAAAAATAAAATTATTTTTATTGTTATGAGGAATCGGAACTTTACTTAACTAACTACGAATTCATAACAAAGCCGTCATAGATTAATGTAAGTGATTCATAGTTATGAATGTTTACAAATAAAATTTTAAGAAATTATACCTATAATTGAATGATGTTTTTAATATTATTTCTCCTCCGCTACAGAATTTAATCTTTAAATCAATACTTTGCTGAGACAGTGAAAATTATATTTTAATTAAATTTTATAACAAAAAGGTACCGCTATTATTTGTTGACAAGACTTTTCATTACTCTTTATAAATACTTAAATACCGTATTTACTCAAGTAATTTATCCTCTAGCTCTTTTTCAGTACAAAATTCTGAATTTTTAAAAAAAATTCACAATTTTCTTTTTATTATTTATCTTATTTAAGTTTATTATATTTTATCTTATTTAAGTTTAAAATGAATTCGTGCACGCAGTGGTTCATTTCGTATAACTAATTGATTTGCTCATGGATTTCGGTTGCATGGGCTCTGACATTTGAAGGGATTATAGAGAAGAACATCGAAGAAAACAAGGATATCTAATGCTCTTGATAGTTACAAAAGTCACTGCACGACGAAAGACAGACTGAACGGTGACAATGGAGACAACCTGCAAATTGTAGCAAATAACACAAAACTACTGACTTCCAAATAATTTGAGGTTTAGAGAGTATCATTGAACAATAAAAAGAACGAAACTGAATTTACAGGGAACTAGATATGAAAATATCTCATTAAAGATTGTAATATTTATTTAATAATAATTTTATGTATCTTATCGTAATAATAATATTATGTATTCTTAATAATAATATTAATGTATCCTTAATAATAATATTATGTATTCTTATCTTAATAACTAAGCATTCTTATCGGAATGTAGGTTACTTTTAAATAAAAATATTTTTATAGTCACGAGTTAATTTATCTATGAATAGTTAGTTCTCATTTCTTATGTTCTTAGTATAATCCCGTCCTTCGGAAACTAGATTATTCGTATAATTCCTCTCTCTTGATTTTCACATGACAAAATGGATTAAAAAAGAAAGTAAAATACGCAAATAAATACGATATTAAAGGTTTGATATAAAACTTCCAAAAGTAATAAAGTGAAATCGGTATGAATTTTAACATAATAAAGCAAAATCAGTATGAATTTCACAGCAGAGGGATTAAAGTATCACGCAAGTGGAAAATAAATTTGCCTATCCAAGTTAATGAAAGAAAAAACGTGCTTCAAATATTTGATCAAAATTTGTCGAGAATCATTTAACAGCTGAAAATGTTACGTCGATTTTGAAATAATTATTTTAACTAGGAATTTTATTTACCTCTTTATGATTTATTCTACTTATAAGGGAAATAAGACAAAAATTTTGATTTGCTCTTCCAATGCACTTCAAAAATTTCAAAGCTACATTTTTAAAACTGAATTTTTTAAAGTTTAAATACTTTTACGATAAGAATTAAGATTTAAAAAAATATTGCTTAAAAGCAATTCCAGTTAATTAGATTTAATTGTTTTTACAATTTATTTGAACAAAAGACGTTATCCTTACAGCTTCAGAATGCTTGCATTTTTTTTTGCTATATTGATATCCTTCGTAAAAGAACACCAATTTAAGTATTTAATGTATACAAATTCATTCACAGATATGTAGCTTCTGACAATACATTACATTCATTACATCAGTGAAACAGGACATTACTTTTTCCATAAGTTTAATTTCTCTCTTTCTTTCTTCTTCTAAGCGAGCTTTGGTTTCCTGGATGACTTCCTTCTGCTCAGATTGGTGATCTGCATCAGCTTCTTCTGCATTTTCTTCGACGTATCGCCTTTAAAAATATTTCTGAATGAGCAATACGACTAGATTTTAAATACCAACTCAATTTTACCATTGCTGAAATTTATTTAGTAAGTAATATAATTCAGATTACTTTATAAGGTATAAACCATAATAATTAACCAATTATTATAGTTTACACCTTATAAAGTAAATCTTTACTATAACTTCTTCTTTTCGTAGTTCACAGTACAAATTAGTTGTTTGAGTATTTAAAACGAAGGTTCGAATGTTTTAATATTAGAGCTTTTGGAAGCTTTACTTGCAGTTACGTTGTGTCGCCAAATCTGCCAGAGATTATTTTGGCTTTAGCAACATTCGCTAGCCGACGGTAAAACGCGCCATTCAGATATTTAAGGCAGCTTAAGTAGGCCATTTTGTGCAGACTCTAGCTACTTTACTTGAATGTGAATTTCAGCTTATGTTATTTTAAATGTCGCGAATGGCGGAGTTTTGCTTCGTGAGCACAGGTGATGCCTTCTGTTAAATTTAAAGATTTAATAAAAAAAAATAAAAAAGTTACTTTAACATTCTCAGGACTCTGTCATCTTAAGTCACACGGAGTGATAACTGGCCCGTCAGTCTAGTAGGATCTGAAGGACTTTGATTAAGACTTCTACATGACTAAAACCCTGCAACTTCAACAGCAAAAACTTCACAGTATCATCATCATTAGAGGAATGTTAGAGGAGGTGCAGCTAGACATTCGAGAATTTTTTTTTTATCATGCTTTAAATATACTATATAATCTGCATACATAAAGAAAGATCTCGTTCCATGAAACGGCCAACGAAATTTCCCCAAGATATAGTTCCAACGAACTGGTTTTCTGTAAAAGTGATCGATTTAGAAAACATCACTACCAACACTGTTCAATATTTTACTTACCTTCCAAGAAGTACTGATTCTTTCTGAGGTGGTATTCTACGATACAGGGTCGCTACAAAAGGTTCCATTGCATTTGGAAGTTTATTAAATGGCTTCGGAGGTTAAGTGTTCTTGGCACGCAAAGGTTCTCGAATTAAATTTCTAACAGTAGCAAACTTTTAAAAACTGACAAAATGATTTGCCGAATTTTAATCCTTTGCATTCAGAGTGAACGTATTTAGATTTCAGCTACAGAAATAAATAAATTTGTGTTTATGTTATCATTTATTTGCACCTTAGTTACTCTAGCTCTCTTCTTATAACAACAACATTTTTAGAGGCTTCCTTGCCCGAGAAATGAAATTGCATTATGAGAAAAAACATTTCGCTTTTCACATGTTTTCCACTGTGATTTGACTGGAAGGGTGAGGCCAGATTTCGCAAGATAACTATGCGTTGGTCACTCTCAAGCCGATTAAGGAGCTCTCCAAAGAAACCTCACGTGCGATGGTTTAAGCCTATTATGTTGGTAGAACTCACAGTTATACCGCTTCGCTCCTCTGAAATTGGACACTGTGGAATTCTACGGACATTATCTGACGCTGTGGTATTCTACAGGTAGTTCGCGCGTACTTTGAAGTTTCTCAATGGAATGAGCAAATGTTGCTGATCAATGGAATGCAAATGTTGCAAACTTAAGAAAAACTCGGCAAATCAAATTTGAAATCCAGTGAAATCTATCATTCATAAAATAAGAGGCAGAAATAAAACCCATCCCCAAATATGAGTTGACCTTTTCTTGGAGTCTTCAGTGGAGACTTTGTCTCAACTATAAACTCAGAAAAGAGAGAGAAAACATTAAATAACATTATAATAAGATAATGAATTAGCTTTATAATAATAAGATATAATATTTATAATAATAAGATAATGAATTAGCTTTTGCCTGGAGAACTCATTCCTCGTAGAATAATTTTAGAGAAGAAGTAAATTTAACCAATGGTCGAGTGGTTAAAACCAATGAATATTGGTAATTTGATCCATATTCGAACGCAGGTGAATGGACTGCTTACATGATTGGTTTTCTTTACTCCAAGCGTAACGGAGTATCATTCCGTTTCTCTAAAGAAGTCTTTCATGAAGCTATCATTGCCTTTAAACAGAAAGCTGTCGTGTACTTTGCAATATTCAAGTAACCTTATCTAACCAAATAAAAAATATTTCTTGAGTGAAACTCAAAGCCAGGGTGAAACACCATTTCGGCTGCTCAGAATATTATTTGGCGAGTGGAAAAGAATCTCACTTTCTAATCTCGCCATCTTTTGAAAACAGTATGAACGCGCTGCAGAAAATTCGTATTCTTAATACATTTCCTTCTTTCACCTAAATTACAGCATAGATAAATGTGACTTCGATCCACTACCTCATTGCGTTAATGATACTGTGAAAATTTAAGTGCTTTATTATTTAGTTTTTCACAACGAACGAACTATCTGCTGTGAGGCACAGCACCTTTCTTTCCAATGCAGAACTATATGACTCTATCAACGAGCCAGCTTCCCTTATAAAGTACTCGAAGGCATCCTTTCTCATAGGTAGGTAGCCTTCGAGTTATTTAGCTTAATCAATAAATCTACCTTAACATTTCCAAAATCGTTTCTTCCAAATGAATTCCCTTGTTATTCTTTACCAGTAAATATTATGAAAGCTGTAATAAAACTGAATCGAATTTTCAGTCATTCTACTAGTTCTTGCGACGTTACACCTAATAGCATAAAACAATAAAAGCTTGATGGATAAGTTATTCTACACAACTGGAAATGATAATAAAGTTACTTCTAAAGGAATTTCCGTTATTGCTTTCACCAGGAAAGTTAATCTTCAGTAACCTTTTATGAAGAGATTGAGATTTGACTGCAAGTTTGCAGTGTAATGGCAGAAGAAATGAGAGCTTCAGATTCACGATATTGTAGGGTTCGTCCTTCAGGATCATCGGTACACCGCCTCTGCTACTTTCTGCGCTCTGCCATGTAGACTTCGTCACCCTGGTATAAGTAATAAAAGACAGAGTCGATAAGAACCTTTTTCTACACTCCAGGTCTTTTTCACTCGGGAGAACCAGAAACTCGCGACGATTTTCCACATATTTGGTGAATTGCTTACTGCTAACTTAAAATAGTTCCACATAAATCTAATGGTTCTTTCAAGTCTGAAAATACTTGCAGTCCTGAAGCTCTTTCGCCGAATGCAAACGGTATTTCTGTCGTATTTCTTTGGATTCTGTGCACGTTATCCATTCTTAATTTTTTTGTCTCTTCTGTGGAATCACTGTCCCTTTCACATTCACTATCTATTACTGATTTTTCGCCATCTTACGCCTCTTACTTCATCAATACTTTCCTCCTCTTTATCATCAAGTAGATTATGCATAGAGGTAATTTCGTTCTTCATTAACGAAAAATTGAACTCCTCTTCAATTGAATTGATTCTTTCATCGTATACCATGCTTACTGGTCTCCGTAACTTTGAAAATAATATTCCTATTGCCACGACTGTCAAGGTCGAACTAACGTCGAAGACGCATATATAACAAGAAATCTAAAAAGCGTGTTTAAGATTAAAGATTGACAGTTGTTTTATATGCATGTATTGTTGATTGTATGCATGTATTGACCCACACCAAACCTAAATAATCATCGTTACCGCTCGAATTACCGCGTCAAACCGATTGGTGATCGGGAGTCACCTCTCGAGTTACAGCATCAAATCAAGCGGTGACCGAGAATCACTTCTCTAATGCAAAGACTTAAAGAAACAGTGAAAAAGTATTTATGCAATTTTTGATCCATTAAATGAACTAGTTTAACGTTATCTTTCTCATGAAGTTATCATTATATCTTTCATTCAGTGTAAATTTGACTAAAAAACAATTTCTATGCTAAAAAAATTGCTTATTTAATTCTTTTTATGTCATCATGTAAAAAATTCAACGTTAGCGTAAAAATATTCATTGCAAAATTAAAAAACATTTTTTTTCTCGTTCGTTTTCTGTTTAAATTATTAGTTATGATGTCGCAAGAACAGTTGGTGCGATTGACAGTTCGATTTTCTCAAAAGTCATATTACATTATAGCTTTTGTAGTGTTTACATGGGAATTAGTTTGGCAAGCGTTGATTTCTTGGAGGCAGAGAGTTCTTAATGGCGAAGAAGTTCTGCTTTACCGTTAACAGTTTGCGCATAAATTAATTAATAGCTAATCACATTGTGTTTTTACAGTGGTACTGGCGCGATTATACTGGGCTTTTACTAGTACCGGCGATTAGGTTTAATTTGCATGATGAATCGGAGCTATTAATATTTGCTACTTAACGAAACAATGGGAGGAAGCGTAATCGAAGTTAATTCCATCGCAGTACTAGTGGGCTGTTTGCGAAGATCGGCGAGGTTAGAACTTAGCGAGGGTATTTTACTGCTTGATAAACCAAGTCTTAGAGCAGCCAAGTACTATGTCCCGGCTAACGTTCGAGTTTGACTCCAGAACTCATGACGAACGAAGAAATATTTATCGGAGAGCTATAGCTCATATCAAAGTATTACAGTTATCGTTCACTGATCTCTGTCTGTGGATCGTATGTTTTATGCTTACAGATGGGAAAAGGTGAGTCTGGCTCCGGTAAGCAAATGTAAGAGTAAAATTCTATTTTATTTAGATTTTCGTCCATGTTCAAAATACATTATTACTAAGAAAAACTGCAACACCAAGAACAACGTTATCTAATTATTGTAAAATGTGGCGCACTGGTTAGTTATTACGAGACACGTAAATGGTTACAAATTCCGCTGCATAGGTAAATAGAAGGCGTACGCAATCGAGTTGCAGTTCTGACGCTAACAATGTAAAAGTGACCGCAAAAAGCAAATTTCAAGCATGGTATTGGTAAAATCAAGTATTATTGTGCTAATAATAAATAAGTAAGATAACGTATGACGAAACTTATGAAATGAAAACATGAAAAACAGACGGAATAAAAAAAAAATAAAAAAAAAAAAAAACGTTTGAGAGAAAGTTGGTTGTCTTATCATGAAATTGTATCACATGTTAACTGAGATTATTAATTATGCGT